TACAGCGTGAATTTAATCAGACTTGGGTCGATTTAGCAGCCCAAAATAATGCTCGCATGGAAAATACCATTACGAATACAGTAAGTTGACTGCCCAGGCAGTAATCATCTGGAATCCATTCGAATGACTACTAGGCTCACTTGAGAGTTTGGCAGATTTGAATAAGTCAGCTAACCCAATTTTGAAAAATGCACGGCCTCAGTGAGCCTAGTAGCTTAATGATAGAGCGTTGGCCTCGCAAAAACCTTCCCTACTGTGTGACTTCGACTCCCACCAAGGCCGCAAATCTTTTAAAATTAGGTCAACTGGATTATAATTGTCTTGCTAAAAAAGGAACAAGTTTAACCGTCGGTTTAAACGATCTCCACCGTGTGCTTCAAAGCAGGCTGGAAGGAAGAGCAGTGACGTGCACCTGAATTCGTTTATACTGACTGTAGTCTTGTCCTGCATATACCGCACTCACTCCCCCTCCCTCTCCTGGATTCGGTGTTGGGACCCAGTCACAAAGACTGGGAGTGGGAGAGGGCACAGGTGGTCGATGTGACTGGAGCTGCTCAGCTGACCGGATCTCATGGAGTGGGAGTGCCAAGTAAGCATACCCCAAGGACTATGGCTCTGTGGCATACTGCTGTCCAAGCCTCCAAAGGTCTTCTGCCACGGGCGTCCCTAAGCATCAATGTGCCACGATAATTTTTTAACTAAAGGAGCACCAACCTCCAAGTGATGGCTGCCCAGAGCCTTAGCCAGGTCAGCAGCACGATTCTGGGTCTCCGATGAGCTGTTAGATGAGGGCATATAGCAGGTAGTTAACAGTCGTGAGCAGAGTTCATGCGGCGATTGCGGCCCGAAAAGGGGTTCGTTGAGGATTCTGCGACAATCGGAGAGAGCAGTCTCATTACCGGCGGCGATCGTCCTGTACACCTGCAAGAACACAAGGCAGAGAGGAGGAGGATGGCTTATAGCAATTAGTGAGAATGTGAAATCCGTGGTTAAGCAAGAAACTGGCACTGAAAAAGGTCATCAGTTATTGCATTAGTTACCATACAGACAATATAGATATTAACTAAAGTCTAGACACGCGTCTTTCATCGATCTTGTGCCGCTACATGAAGTAGCCGCAGGGGACTTGGCTCATTAGGGTGGCTATTGAGTTTTAAAAAGTTTGCCAAATGAATAAATGATGTTTGCTTGACTTCTTGACTGTTGCTTGTTTTGGCATCACTTTTATCCCTGACGACGGACTTCAACAAAGAGTTCAGATGAATAAGGAAATGATTCCGGCAATAATAATCATCTCCCAAACGGTTGCAGACAGTCACAAAAAGTAACATGAAAAAAGAATTTTTGTAGTTGTTACCTGCTGGCACATACTTAACACTATGCATGCGACGCTTGAGCTGTCCAGACCACCACTAAGGCAGAGAAAGAATCCACCGGAACCACTGCGCCGCAGAATGTCCCACAGCCAGAGCGCTGGACCCAGGGCTATCTCCTCTTCAGGCGATTGAAGTGGGATAAAGGGAGGAGGTAGTGGTACAACTCCGACCACGGGGGTGAATAAACTAAAGTTGACCTAAGAAAGAAAACCGGTCGAATACATTTCAGAAAAATAAAGTTGCAAACAAAGTAGAGACATGGGCGAGACAGCGATGGTGAGGATTTAAAAACCGAGAACGAGCCATTTGTAGTATACAGAGCAACCAGACATCAACCATGCACGTTACCAGTTACATACTACTTTAACAGTAAGATAGGGCCCAGCTCGAAGACCCAAAGAACAGATTTGATGTGCAGTGTGACTCGAGAATCACTTTTTCCGGCGTTCTTTTCAGACAAATAAAAGAGAGCAATTTCTGGCTTATTAACCAA